TTTTTTTTTCTTCCCGATTTGGTAGAAGAGACATCGAAACATGTTTTAATCTGCAACACAGACTGATAAAACCAGCTGCCCAACAGACATCTCTTTCACGAAGGCTTAATTCTCCTTGGAGAGCTCGAGAGCAGCTTTACTGCCTGCCGGATAAGTCATGTTTACAGCAGATCCTCAGAGCTGCTCAGCCTCTTAGATGAATTTAAAAATTAGACCAGAGGGTAGATTTGCAGAGCAGTAATTAGCACAGGAGACGATGGAGAAGCAATGGAGAAGAACAATTTAGTCTGTGTCAACATAAGGTCAAGTTCTGGGGGGCTTGTCCGAACTTCTGCACAGCTCATGGGGAAAAAAAGGCAGGGAAGGATGAAACGAGGGGGATCTGCACTCTGAAAATCCAACTACTCCCCACAGACCAGCTTGAGCAGCCTTAATCAGCTTTGCAACTCTTCTTCCTTCCCATTTCAGGGCTTTTTTTATTTTGTGTTAAAAAAAAGGCAGGTAATGGGCACCCCTGACAGGCAGCACTCCTGTGCTGCCACAGTGACTGTAACAGTACACAGTCTGTTGGCAGGCAGAGTATTTCCCCACTACTGCCTTTCTGCTAATGAGTCAGCAAGTGCCTTAACTTAAATAACAAGCCACCAGCTCAATCAGGCTTGTTACTGTGCAATTGCACCCCAGAGCAGACCAGATGGGAGAGCTCCTGTTGTACCAGCTGGATTCAACCCCGCTACCCTCTAAAGCCACTTCCAGAAAAAGCCAACGTGGGTAACTCCAGCCACCATTTGCACAGAGCTCAGCATCACCGTTTCCATCTCGGATGGACTACATCAGCATTGAAACAAAATAGAGGAATCGTTAGACAAAGACAACAAGATAGCAATATGAGATATAGATATAGGCAGACTTGCTTAAAAACAAAACTCAGGTCAGAGGAAGGCCAGGAACCATCAGGCAGTGCAGCTCCTTCTGGGTTCTCCAGATCCAAAACAGAGCCACAGCACCAAAATTCATACATTCCCTCTCATGTGCAAAGAGACTAGAGAATTTGTCAAATCAGTGTCTGTAGGGCTGGTTTATTTGTGCTTCTCTCCACCCCCAGGAACTAAGCATCTTCTTTTTTTTAAGTCAGTAAGAACCTACTACTGGCATTCCAGCTACAGACAGGAAGCAGTACCAATAGTGTCAATACCAACTCATACTCCTCAAACTACTACTCCTGGAATTAAATTCAAGAATGCAAGTCCCAGAGTACACACAATGATTGCATACTCAAGAACACAGAAACTAGCAAAAAGATTAATTTACCTTATGTAAATAGACAGTTCATATTCCTTAGACCCTGCTATGCAGAACAACACATACAGATCCCCAGAAGAGCTAAATACAGAGTCACGGACAGATCAACTAAGAGGTGGACAGGTCGTCTTGCCATGAGTATTTATTGACTTTCTGAAAATTGCAAATGTGCATTAATTCAGGAAGTAAAAAGCGGAGCAAGAATATAAATAACAATAGAAGTAAGAGGAGGAGGGCAGACCCAGCCCTTTCCAACTTCCAACCCGCCCCTGCCCTCTCTCTCATTTTCCAGGGCATTTCCTACCCCCATCTGCACCTGCTCGAAACAAGCTCCTGCAAATCTGACCCAGGAGACAGTCTGCCTACTGCTCCCATTTAACGGAGGCACAGCAATTCCTGAAAAAAAGCAGGGCTAAGAATAAATCCCAGTAGCCAGAATAAGTATGTGAACTAAGTACAAGGCACACGTAAGAAGATTTATTAGGTCTCACGCTGTAACAGCACCATGAATCATAATGATGCCCTATTTGCTATCCACATGTGCCTTTAAGTCAATGATAAAAGTTCACTTGGCACAGAAACATACCATGCAGGGTTTCACCTGCAGTGCTTTGCTTCTAGCCCTTCCCAATTCACTTGTGTTAATCCAAAAATTGGCTACTTTGCTGGAAAAAGATGGAGCAGTCCTGCAGTGTCTCCAAGTTGGTGAGCACATGGGGCTGACAAGCAATTCACCAGGCTGGGACTGCCCCACTATGTCCAGTAAGCTCAGGATACACATTAGACACACCAGTGAGTCAGTGACCACAGGAACACTAACAGCAGGCAATCTTATCTCCAACAACTCCTTTTTATTAGGAACTTGTGGTCCGAACCCTCAAAAATCAAGGAAAGCGTTACAAGAATTGGTGCTGGCGTTGCTGTTAGAGCCAGCCCGCAAACGCTGCTGGACAAGGTGCGCTGGAGGGGAAGATGGGCTGTTCCAGTGAGTCCTGATTGCAGATTTCACAAAAGGGCCAGCAAAGGACCCCACAGAGATGACGCCATGAAGGGGCAGGACTGTTACCACCAGTGGTAAATGGCCAAAGGAAACTACAAGGAGCAACAGGAGGAAGGGAGAGGAGAAGGAAGAGTGCGGGCAGAGCACGAAGCCACTGATAGTAGGTCTGGTTTGGTCTCCTGTTTTCCACACAAAATGACTACGCAATCTGCCATCATGACCAGACTCCTCTGCATGGCAGGTCTGCCACCTCTCCTCTTGAGGCTACAGAAGATTTAGCAATAGATTTTCATAACTCACACCACAGAGCACATACGAGCCCTCTGGTGCTAGGCATACGCAGAGGCTGCCCCTTAGAAACAGTACTGGTGACAGTGACCTTCTAGGAAGTCACATACCACCGCCCCACATCCTTTTGTACAACCTGGCTTTCAAGACTAAATAAAGGCAGTAGCACAAGCTTGTTTGCTGTGCTCCACAAGCCTCTGCCTTGCTCTTGTTGGAAGCAACACCACCACATCATTTGATCTAAAAGGATATCCATGCCTTCAGTTCACAAGCAGACACTTCCATTAAATGCTAACTTTGGTGCTCGCTTCTCTGCTGGGAGCATCTCTCTGGTGGGAAGAGGATGGTAATCAAATTTATTTGCACAAGCCGTTTGAAGAGCTTCAAAGGTGGAGCGATATTCAGTCACTACTAGTGTGTTCCCAGTTAAACTATGAAGTACAGCTACGGACCCTGCAGCCACACTTTATCTCCTAAATCACTAATTTCCTGATAAATCAATGGCTAGACAGACCAGGTGCTAATGCGTGTAAAGAAAAGAAAAGATAGTGAAGCCGTAATTGCCCTTCCCATCCAAATACATCTTGTATTTGCTGGTCCCGCATCCCAATTGTTGGAACTCATCTGGGGTCATTGGCAGGGGGGCGGGGAGCGAGCGGGGAGATGGAAATGTTAGTTCTGAGGTCTACATATTTTTTCCATTATGAAAAGTGTCCCTCCAGGGCTGGTTCAGACACGAACCATGGGAGGTGAGGAACGTCCTGGCTAATGCCCAGGAATCTGTTCACATTCACTGCACGTTCCTTAGTACATTTGCCTATAGTATCTCTTATTTCACAACAGCTCCTCCCTATTTGTACAAACCTCATTCAACCTTCGTTTGCCAAAGACAAACAAAACTGAACAGAACAACACAGTGCTCCCAACCAGCTACGGCACAGCTTTGCCTTTATTTCTCTTGTTGTAGACGAGACATAAGGCGACCAGCTCACATGAGCGGTCAGGGAAAAATAGTCATCTTCTCCAGCATGCAGGGTGGGCTGCAGGTCTTGGAGGGACCATTTCAGCTGGAAACCTCCAGATGCTGAACAGGGAAACAGGCCGGAGAGCGAGAGGCTGGAGGGCAGCAAGGGGGCTTTGCAATAGCCCTGCGTGGCCTGAGAGCACCACGGCTCATGACCGAAAGCGGCTCTGCTCTGCATTCAGGATTATTGATTATCCTCTCCTAATCGCATGATTGAGTGCCCGGGGCAAAAAAAAAAAGTTTTATATTATATACAGATAGATAGCTATTTAAAATCATTAACAGAGATTTATATCTTTGAGCTAGTCTTCCGTTCTCTGGGGAAACCAGACAGCTGCATAGTAAGCGACTGAAGGCTACAATAAAATGAAGAAATGCGCTTCAATAAATCATTAAGCTAAAGCTCATAATGTTTATCTGCAATGTCATGTCCCCACAATCTACAAAAGCAGATGTGTAACTTTCTGTTTTTCTTTTATCAACTATTAAACTGTCATGTAGCTATTACAGAAGACTGAAACTTCTTTTTAAGAGCATTGAGCATCAGGGGTTGCAGTTTCTTTTCATGGAAGGGATACTTGCATGCCAATCCATATCGTGCAAGAGGAACTGGAGATAAAATATATGGAAACAAACCCTTGAAGAAGAGGCTGTTCACTTTCTGCCAATGTTCTGGCAGCTAGATGTGCCCAAAACTTCATTAACAAGGCAGCTCTGTGGGATCAATTTTACCAGCTCTGCTCTATCTGCCCTCATTTATTCTTCTTCCAGTACACCCCATGCCTATGTTTCCAAGTGTATTTATATATACAGTGAGGCACAGGCAGCACCAGAGCTGGTTCAAGGCCCCCCAGCAATGAAGGCAAAGTCCTGTGTGGCCATGGCACTTCTGCCTAGGGGAGACAGTACGGGAGGGGAGGTCAGGCAGAAAGGCTGGAAGAAGGCAGACCCATTTCAAGAGCAGAAGGCAGTTTTCAGGGTCAGCAGTTGCTTTCCTACACCCTCACCTGCAAGCAGCATTGCTCCTCCCGCAGCCAGCCCTTCTCTCCTTCCCAAGCCCCTGAATTGCCAGGGAGACGGGAAGCGCCAGGGCTGGGGACTGCTCCGCAGGAGCAAGGGTGGACAAGGGAAAGGACAGCCCTGGAGACATCCCACCAGGGTAGCCACTGCAGGGGTAAGCTAATGGTGGACGCAGACAGCTGTGCCCCCGACATCATTCCCGAGAGGCTGGAGCAGGTGGCATAGAGAGGGGCAGCTGCAGCTCGAGGAGACATCTTGCCATTTCCCCAAGACTCAGCGGTGACCAAGAAAGGCGGCAGCCAGTGCACGTGTTGCACCACGAGCAATGTGCTTGCATGACCTCTCTGTTGAAAGGTCAGAGCTCTTCCCCCTCCAGGTAGCTCCATAAACACCGCTGACATTTTCCAGCCTTGCCCTGTAATGCACTACTGGACACAGACCCTTCACCTCTTTCTCTGGAGCTCTACGGCAGCCACCAGCACAGAGGGAGGAGAAATCACCCTTACAGGTATTTCAGGGATCCAAAATTTTTTTTTAAACCTTGTTTCCTTTTTTTAGAAGAAGAATAGAGCAGGAAAGCTCTCTGCTCCCTCAGGCTTGACATCCAAAAATTAGCATTTGTTTGTTTTACAGAACAGGACTTGCTCTATCCAATTTAGATCCAATCTGTTAATCTACAAACAAAAGCAAATAAATACTGAAATTATGACTAAGGGGGATTTCAAGAGGCCTATACCTTACTGTGTTTTTTTGAGGTATTACAAATGGAGTCTTGCGTTTATTCTACTGTATTTCCTGCTGGCATGAATGCAAAATTCAAAGCTGCTGTGCTGCTTTTGTCTGCTGCTGCTGATGTAAAGCGTAACTACGCGTTCAATCCAGCCTGGGAGGGCTGCTCTTTAGAAGCTAATTTAAAGCATGATTTCCAAAATCCTGACCGTATGAATCCGTGAGCAAATCTGTCTATGGTTGTATGCAAGCCCTCAAATTACTGTTATGCTCAAATCCTTGAAGTCCACCAAATTAACAAGCTCTAGCCCACATGACTAAGGTTCACAGAAGTTCAACCCCAGCTTATGTAAGAGACAGAATTGGTGTGTTTGCCTTTAAAAAAACCACCAAGATAAATACTAGGGTCAGCAAACATGCTGTGCAATATTTAACAAGAAAAAGCTGGGACCTTAACAGGATTTGCAGCCTAGAACTGCTCCTGAAGGCAACAAACATGACATGATCATTCTGACAGCTGTGACAAATTAGGTTTCATTTGCCTGAGAGCTAGCCATGTTCATTTAACTGCAATTACTGGCACATCATGATCCCCATGCCGAGAACGCACCCAGCCATCCAGCCAGACAGTCAAACAAAGCATCTTGTACAGATCAACATGTTTAAATGGTTCTTCTGTAACAACACCAAGTCTTCAAAAACAACCATTCGTTAATATCTGCCAATAGCTTCTTCAGGTAGTGGAACAACAAAATCTGGTTAAGATGCTTTAAACTCTGCACCCATTCCCTGTGTGCCTGGTTGCCGAATGCAGTGCTCACAGGAGAAGGTGCTATTTAGAGATGTTTACTCTGTCTGGTCTAATCCAGGAGATATGAAAATAGTTTGTTTCATCCAGCCTGAAATATTATTTTGAAAGACTAAACATATAAATCAACTCTTTTTTTTGTACTTGTCTTTATGCCTGAGAACATATCTGGACTTTGTGATCTTATTTACAGCAAAATCCCGCACACATACTCACAATTTCACAAGAACCCTTTCCTTATTCCCTTATACTTCAGCCACACCAAAGAAGAAAGCTTCAGTCAATTATACATGCATCATTTCAACATATTTAGTTGGTGAGCTAATTTAAAGGAAAAAAAAAAACATCTGGGATGTGGCCGTCAGCTTCCTTAAAAATTCCTAGATAACACATCCATGGCATGTCTGATCCATTCAGTCACACCACAAAACATCATTCATTTTTCTTCAAGACAAACTTTATTTATTCCCAAACAGGACTTTACAAGCCTATGTGTTCTGCAGGCAGGAATGCAGGAGCCCTCATCTATCCGTCCATCTGTCCATTTGCTGTTGAGGCACCAGCTGCCGGCAGTAACAGGTGTTTTCTGGTTTTCTTCTCAAGAGAAAGTCCCAGGCGCTATCTCTGGTGGAATGCAAAAGAACAGTGCGGCACGTAGGGCCCGACACGGAGCCGCATTCCTTTCCGAGCAAGCAGGCAAGACGCACTCCGCTGCAGCACCACTAACTCAGATGCTTTCCTGGGGAGTAAGCTGCGTTTGCATATACTCACTCAAAAAATTCAGCCAAATCATCACTTGAAAGGCAGTTTTCCCCACTTTTTTTTTGCAAGGAAAAGCTGGTTTATCAACAGCTGCAGAGCACAGTACATTTGCGCAGTGCAACATTAACTAACTCTCAGGACACCATCAACTGAGGCTGAAGACTCTGCCCTGGCAGTAGCTAACTTCTATTCAATGTTTCTACGCCGGGAAAATCTTCAAAAGTTATTTTCAATAACTTTTTTTTCTTTTTCAAACTCTGTAGTGAGCCAAAACAGCTCAAACTTCTGAGAATAAGATATGCAGGAGGAAAAAATGAAACTAGCGGGATTAAGAAAAACAAGTGGTGAAGACGAGGAAAAACATGGAAATGGATTTTTGATAAAAAACTGCAAAATAACCCATGACCAAAGCAAACAGCCATGCAACATGCCACCAACATCTTCTGAGGAATACTTAGCAACGAGGCATCACACGACTGAACGCAAATTCAAAATGAAATCAAGTTTGTTTCTGATCTTCAAAGGCTTACAAATGCGTTAACCTTTACTCGCTCTGTGTAGCCCTGCACGTTTACAGTGAATTAAGATAAGCATGAGCTTAAATAACTGTAGGATTCCAGCTTAAATCATTCCTACATGGAGTCCGTCTCATCCTGTTGTACAGTGGGCATTCTTAGACAGCAGCTTTCTCATGGTGGAGACGGACGACAGCACCTAACATACTCCAAATGGGAACATGATACAAGCAGTAAAGCAGCCGCCCAAAATCTAGTCATATTGCCCATGTTTACAATGTAAAAAGTTATGTTTATACTGATAAACACAGCTTTTGAAAAGGTTATTTCCCTGCCCCTTTGCAAACAGAAAAGGTTAAGTTCATCATCTGCTGCGCACACGTCAAGCTATCAGGCAAAGGAAGGAGCTGCAAAGAGCACAGCCCTGCGTTCCGCTGCACCAAAGGACCTGTCAGAGCATCCCAGCAAAATGCCCAGAAAACTGTCCTAAAGTTATACTAACCTGCCTCAAACGCCTCTGCCACAGCCTGCTCGTTTAGTGGACTTAATTTTAAAGCAAGCCTCTGAGGCACAGGTTTATGAACAAGTCCTCAGACCAGTAAATTCAGAGGTAAAACCCAGCTTACCTTTTCATTTAGCGTAGTCATTAAAAGCAAAGTGACAGGAGAGTTCCTCCCTCTGCCTGCTTTCAGATTAACCCCACCGACACAGCTAAATCACAAAAATTTACTTATTCAGTCATAAGTGACCGCTGCACTGCTGAGAGCTGACTCCAGCTAGTCTTTACCCTTATTCCTTGAATATTTTTTTTTTTTTTTAAGAGAGCACAGGATGCCCAGAGGGACATCAGTACTGTAACACTAAATACAGCAGCACTCACAAGCTAAATTGCTGCCTACGAGGTGTATCAGCTAAGTTCAGAACAACCATTTCATACACAGGCAGGCAAGATGCTTGAAATATGAGAGGTCATTTCAGCAAAGCCCAGAGATGCAGGAGCCAGAGCTCCTTTGACAGTTGCCTGGCAACGCTCCATTATCTTATATTCATTTATATTTATATTATTTTTAATACACTTACACTTACCCCCAGGTCTCACCCAGGGTTCTCCCCAAAGTGAGTTCAGCATTCTCTGTCGTTGGGGGGAGTGTTTGTTTGCTTTCTACAAGTCTTCTGGAAACAACTGAGTTCTGCCAAAAAGAGCACAAAACTTGAGAGCTTTCTGAGAGCAGTTTTTGGAACAGGCTGTCTGCTCCTTCCAGCCTCAGTTTTGCATCACAACATGCATTTTGGCAGGCTGCTTCTCAACAAGTACCTCTCACGGCTGCAACCTTTCGTCAGCATCCAGCCAGACACTTGGCGCATTTCATGAAGAGATGGGCTGCACAGACTCTATTAGCTAAAAGTATCAGTTAATGGGAAGCTACTGTAATATTAAAAGCATTTTTATGCTTAAAAAGTATTCAAGTTTATTCCCTTATCAATAAAACAAGGCAAACTTAAAATTCAAGAGTACCTTGATTTGCCACTAGGTTTTCCAAATTAAAGAAAAAAATGTTCAATTATTTATTTCTGGGGAGAGAAATCTCCCCCCGTCCCACTTCCCCACTTAAAGAAAACAAAAACATAATCAGTGTCCACACAAAAAAACACCCTAAAGCCCTTTGGGCATGTTTTGAAGAAGCTATTTAGAGTAAGGAACATGGGCATTCTCTATCCTTGCACTTATAATGAGGCTCCACCATCCCCAGGAGCTAAAGCAGAATGAAAATAGGTCACATATCTAATTAGCACTATTGAAGCATGAAGCCCAAACATCCCTGAAATGTAATAGATAGGGTTTTTTTTTAATAACTCCAGTTTCATTAGAATATCCCACAGTTACCTATGTGAGATGCCAGAAGCTTAAAAAAAGGGTACCATAAAGCAGGCATGTATCTGGCATCACGCTGCTTTACTACTGGGGAAGGGGAGACAGTGCTTTTGACAAAATCTAATCTATTAGCTAAAACATGAAGCAATTAGTCAATCAGCCTAGCACAGCCTGTTCTTTAATCACTTTTTATTATTAAAAAAAAAACACAACACAACCCCCTTGACTACAAAAACAACATACAGATCCACAGGCGTGGATGAAGCATGTTCAAGACAGGCAGTTTCTAAAGCAGACAGCCAGACAGGAGCGGGTGGGTTCCCACTTTCTCCCAGCAGAGATGCCCATGCGCTGTCCCACGCTTTGCCCCCTTCCCCACGTTTATTAGGAAGCCGGTAAGGGCTCCACAGCAAGCCCCCCACCCCAGCTCTGTGCTTGGCTCCGCTCCTCATCCGCACCTCCCTCCCACACACAGGTATTGCCATCCAAGTGTCAGACACCACCAGGCATGTTGGGCTGTCATAGATGAATGTGTTTAAATTACAGGTGTGTGCGCTGGCAGAGAGCACTAATGAGCTTCTCCTCCTGCTTACCGAAGAGAAGACATGGGAAGATTGCATGGGTGGGTGGAGGGGAAGAGAGGCGGCAGACAACTTTTCCTCAGGTGTGTTTACAGTACACAAGGCTCCAAAGAGGGTGCATGAGCACCCGCACGTCAGGCTGCCATGCTTTGCTTTCCCCTCTGCTTCGTACCCTGCTGCTTGCTCTCACCTCCCAGGGCTTGCTTTTACTCCAGGCAGGCTCAGCCTCCTGCACCCAGCACCCAAAATTTCACTTGCTTTGGGCTAGACGAATGCCAGTGAAGCTATGGGGAAGCACCCCCAGGGATTACACAGCAGCTCTGTCCACCCACCCACAAAGACACCCAGTGAAGACTTCCACATGCAAACCCACTCTCTTTGCGAACAGGACTCTGCGCTTCATTTCCATCAAAGTCAACAAGCCATAAATGCCACTCACCCGTGAGGGTTTGGAAGTCACTACAGCCTTCTGGAAAAAAAATACCATGAAAAAAATCAGAGGGGGGAATTAATTGAGCCTGCAGCTGTCTGCTCTACATATCAAACGTCACAAAGTTCATGTTGTTGCACGGGATTTTTTTTGTACAAGAGATGAGCAGGCGAAAGCTGAGCAAAAACCAGAACAAAGTGTTTACACTGTCCATCCATGACCACGCTCTTACCCCGCAGGCGACTGTGTCTTTTGTGGGCCTTGGCACGTGAGCACTTTGATGTGTCTCCTGCACTGATTTTGCATTTTTGTTTATTACAGTGAGAAGTTTTTTCCTTTTTTTCTTTTTGTTTAAATTCTCTCATCACAGTGGAGAATGACGCACACAACTGCATGTGAGTGAAACCCACAGTATTTTATGTGGCTTAATCTAGTAACTCCCTTACCTGCAAAGGGAAGCAAAAATAGACACTTATGCTTTGATTATAGAGACGTGTATAAAAATCTGTATCTTTTTTTAATGGTGTAACATGGCAGTTCACAAACCACCAAACTCTCCCAACCTGCTCACGTGTGACGGAAGTTAAAGCAGAGTGAACAGCGATGGATGACCCATGCCAATGATGGAGATTGGCAAAGGCTGGAGATCACTGGTCCAGCATCTCAAGTCCAGACCTCACGTTATCACTGCTGGGATAATAGTGGCCATTCTTATTGCTTGTATTGGTAGAATTTCAATTACATTAGTACAAACACAACTTATGCCAAAAGTTAGTCTTCACAATTCCTTCTGTAATCAAAACTTACTCATCACTTCACTATAATACCAATATTAAAGATATGGCTGTGAGGAGACTCAGCCACTAGCAATCTCTTAAGTGGTTCGGACTGTATAACATGCCTACTTTTTTTTTTTCCAAGCAAATTGCCCAGCAATTGGTTAAAGTGGCTCCAGAAGTCCTGAGACCGAGTTTCCTGAGCAGCTCAGCTTCCACTGAAGGTCTCTCTCACCAGCTCAGGCAGCTTGCTCCCCACGCCGTTCTCAAAATGTGGCGTCTTGCTTAAATATCTAACTGGAGGACGACCTGCGATGTGCTTCCCACCATATTTGATACTGGGACCTCCAGGCTGTGGAAACTGCCTTTCAGGGGACTGAGCCCATACGCCCAAACCGGCCTCCTTGCTGTCCGAATTCCACATTCAAGGTTTCCCACCCAAGGCAATGAACACAGCCCATGAGGAGCCAGGAACAGTGTCCAGAGCCTCTACCACTAGAAAGCCCCATTTACTATGGAACAGAAATAGCAGAGGGGAGGCTTTCAGTGGAAAATGTGATGAGAATAGAAAGCAAGAGAGTAAAAGCCCTGTCAGCACATTTCATAGACAGTCTTTTTAATGAGGAGATAAACAGATAAAGCTTTCAATCCATGTATGGAGCTTTTTTTTTTTTAATTTGGAAAGAAGCTAACCAAGCACACGGGATTCAATAGAAAACAAAGGCTGAACAAAACATTTTCTGACAAGGCCTAAACAATCTGAAAAATGTCAATTCTAGTGCCACAGAGAAACCAAAGGTTTCCCCCACTCCCTACCCACCCTATTTATTTTCTTTAATTACCTCTTCCTTTCAGATATCTGGCTGTGCAATGAAGTTAACAAGTACGTACAAAAAACAACCCCCAGTTCTGCGCAGGACCCCCGACTTTGCTGCAGTAGCACTGGAAATTGGAGCGAAGACTGGGAGCAAGCTAACCTTCCCTACTGGCGACAGATCCAAGCCACACAGTTTGGATCCAGACCTCCCAGATGCCAGAGAGCTCCACCAGTGTGGCAAGACTTTTTTCTTATTACACAGTTGCCAGCTATAGTATCTGCCACCCTCTACAGCCATTTGATGTGCAAAGAAGCTGTCCTGCCAATAACATGCTGTTTCTTCAATCTGATGCAACACATTTAAATCAGGTGTGTAAATAGAAAGTCAACGTTCAAAAGCCAGCCTGAAGCTATTAAGCAACAAGAGAGATTTCTTCATATGAAGATGATTTTAAACACAGAATTTAAAAAACATGAGATGGGACCCAGACAAGCAACTTTGCAAAGGAAAGCCCTCTCTTCAGATGCCACGCAGCAACAGTGAAGTGCTCTCCCACCAAGGCTTCTTTCATCGTAACCCAGAATGGTAACCTCAGACGCGGGGTGGCAGCTTATCTTCAGTGGCCCCTTGAATGCCCCCCCTTCCTGTTGACACTCATCCTTTGGGTGGAGTCTTCAAATGAGTTATCTCCCATGCACAAAGAGATTAAAAGCCAGCAGCCTCCAGTGAAAGGCTTTCTATCCTCTATGCTATGCTCCCCTGGGTAGCTTGCAATACCTTCAAATTTCATATATAGCATTTTCAAAGATAAATGATTTAGGGGGATTTTCAGCACGGGCAGAATCTGCCCTGCAAGTACCACCACAGCTTTATCCCTGCTGTTGTAAGAAACTGCATGCATACATATAGCTATGGACTTTTCCCCAGACAAGGTGATATACATCTACACAAACCCTAAACTTAAAAATGGAAACAAAACCAGTTTAATATACAAAATCCAACTAAGTGACAATCATACTCTACAGAAAATAAATCTTCTTGTTTTGGAGTTTTTATGTTTCAGAGACTGCATTTCAGATTAGCAGCAGAAAACCATATCCTGAAGAGCCAGCCGCAGAAACCCATTACAAACAGATACACACTTAAATATGAGACATTGCTGCCAGACATTTTCAACAAACTGCAAACTTACTGCATATTCAACCATCCTGAATAGTCCCCAGGGACCATTTTCTATGGTAATATTCAAGATGTGTAAGTGTCACCATGTAGGAAGCAGCACAATCCCATAACCTGTTACCTAGCTTGTACACACAGTGCAATTCAAAGCATGTAGGTTTTTCTTTTGAAGCAGTGAAGTAGGGCTAAAAACTGCCTCCTGCATGTAGTTATTAATACAGAAAAGTAGACTTAAATCGTTGCCCACATGTCAGATGAAATAAAGTCTAATGTGGTTCTGAATTTATTACTGCTAGGCCAAAGTTATCTCTAGACGTTAAGGGTCACGATCTGAGCAGCGACTACACCATCGCAGACCTCCAGAGTGGTATTTCAGATTGCCTGCCCTGCGAGACCGGCAGACCCTGGCTCCCTGTACAGCAGAACCTGGTTTTAGGCCCGCTGGTACAATGGCCTAACTCAGATGCTGTGCCTGCCTCTGCCTGCTGCCTGCAAAAGGAGCTGGCAGCCCCGTTCAGCAGGAAGCCCATTTTGCTCCTTGTTCTCTTGATTGAAGATGCCATGGTATGTGACTATATGCATCTTCATCCCTGTATAATGCAGTCTGAATACAACCACCCCAACTCTCCCTTTCTCATCTGGATTTGTTCAAATAGCTAGTTAGAAGGGTATTCTTCCCAAACAACAGCGTAAGCGAACATTTGAGTTCGTTTTACAAATTCTTGCTTTCTTGCTTCTATTTTGCAGAAGCAAGCTGGGCTAGATTAATAAGAGCAGCGTACCAAGGGAAGCAATAAATTCATCACTGCTCAGGCTTCCGAGTCTACAGAGGTTTGAACAGCCTACCCAAAAGTTTTGGGCACAAAAGCTTTCCATTCACACCAGGGAGATCTCATTACAGGAATTCCTATGTGAAATTCTCAGTCTGATTTCAGCAAGAGATCAGATAACAAGGACACAGACTATTTTCAAAAACCTCTTCAAAATACACATGCTCCCTGAATAGATGCAAAAGTTAATATACCTAGGACTACAGATGGATACATCAGCTGCACCAGTGATTGCTCCCGAGATCATGGAATAAGCCCAGATAAATGGGAAACTGCACAATGAAGTACCCACAGCAAGGCCAACTGTCTAGAGTATCCCAATTTATTATAATAGTTGGCCAATCCAACATGAAGTATGATCTTTTTCTTGCATCTTAACCCTAACTTTTGAAATATACCCCGTACTGCCTTCCTCCAACACTTTTTTTTAATTTGAAAGCTGACTTTTGTATTGAGAAACCTGCGTATGCTACTCATTAAATTTTTGGAAAGGAATTCAACAGTTAAGCACTTTTTTTAACTGGGCATTTCATCTGGTCCAGAGCATTCACCTCTCACTCCCATCAATAAAGGAATTTGTTAATGGACTTTGCTTCAGTCCCACTCACTTTCATGGCATACACCTACAGCAAAAAATTTTCTACACAGATGGCAAATTTCCAGCATTTGCTTTCAGTCTGCTCACCATGAAAAATACAGATATATTCCTTAAATATTGTATGAATCAGAGCCATAACTCAAAGCCAGAAATAATTACCTTCTCTGGACAACATTCAGCAACCCATTCCCTTCTTCCCCAGCCTGCCAGCTGCCTTCAGCACAAGCAGCCATGTTCCTCCTTTTAATTGTCCACTCCTTTTTTGTGGTTTAGTCTTTTCCCATTTTTCTCCTCATCTTTCCAACTCCAGCTTTTTACAGGGATTATACAGGGCTCCATCCCCAGGCTTTCTGCGCTCTGCTCAACTTCCTCCTGGGGGACCAAATTCCCACTGAAATAATTTTATTGTGATCAGCAGGAGTGCAGCACCCTCAACCCTTGGGAAAAAAATATAATCTGTGTTTTCAGTATTCTCAAACATAAACATAAAATAAACATCTTGACATGGATGACTCAGATTCGCTCTCCTTTTCAGTCTTGTTCTCCGTCTTAAATGTCTTGGATCACTTCCATTTTTTGATGATGTTCAGGCATTACTTTAAGTGAAACACTGCCAAAAAAAGGCAGACTCAAAGCGCACTCTAGCCCCACTTCCTGATCGCTGGAGACACGGCCACCCGACTAACAAACCCAGCTATGGGGGGCTGCTTTCTGCTTAATCCTTTCTCCAGATAGTTATGTCCAGGCTGCGCTTGCGGATTCCTTCCGAAAAAGCAGCAAAGATGTGCTTTTCCCATCCATCCTAGTATCAAAGCTCATAACTAAGTCTTGTGTTTCAGTAATGCTAGTATCTCCTTTTTTGATACGTGTACTGCTGCTTTGTTCAGAGTTAGCTTTCCTTCCCCCGGTCTAGCTTTACCAATATATTTAAAATCACTGCTTTCCGTCTGCTTTTCACTTCTTCAGTGCCTCCATCAGGCTTATGCTATTTTGACCTTCAAGGACTACATTGTACTATTGAAGTGTCAGCTCCAGTCTCCGGTTGGCCAACCAGTCTAGGTGCCATTGCTCATCTGGTAAATTCGCAACATACACCAACATCATTTTTGTCTAATGAGCTAACCATTCATTCCATCACCTACCACACACGTCTGTCTGTCCTCGCAGCTTTTGCTGTGCTCGATCAGTAATTTTTCAGTTCTTGCCTATCATATTGATACTGTTGTCATGGTTATACACCAGAAGTATATGGTGGAAAAAAAAAAGCTTTCACTGGGTTCAGCACTGTATAATCTTGACTCAATAGAAGCCAAAGTAACCCTACATTTATGAAAAACTGGCCACAAAATAGCTCAAAATATTCCCAAATATTATTATAACTGAAAATACTCCCAACTATTTCATAAAAAACATTCCCTGCCCGATTGCTGCTTTTTACTTTGGAAGCCTGTCACAATAATAGCAGCACTGATACTAGCATATGGAGCAGACTGCAGTATTTTAAAGTTGCCAACAAGTTTAAACAAACAAACTGCAGAAATTAAAGTTTAAGCAAAACTTTCTTCCCAGAAACAAATACTGACACTGGATACAAAATATGAAAATGCCAAGCCAATACAAACACCAAAGGAGACAAAACAAAACCAGGCAGGAATTCCATTTTGGCATAAGTGACAAGAGTTTTATGCCTGGATCACAAAGCAGCCGTTTCACTTCTGAAAAATGAAGTGTCTGCACCCCCAGGTAGGTACTGAAGCACCCGGCAAGACCGGGGACGATGATGCAGAGCGCCATATTCCCTCTGCCCAGTGACTCACCAGGTAGACACTTGCCAGATCTTTTCTGGTCGTGTTTTAATTGTTTCACACAGGGCAGACTGGCAGTTCCCGGGGGTAGCTCTTCCTAGTAAATACTATGCGGCAGATTACAGACTCCACGAGTGGACAAGCCTTGGAGGCAAAAACCAGGGTGTGCAACTTCAATGATAGAGGCTTGCTTTGATGTGACCTATAGGATTAACCGTAATCCTGGTGTGACTAAAATATGTTATTTGCGATCTTTATTGCCCAACAAGGAAAATTTAATGACACCCCTACTTCTTTTCGCTCTTCCAGGCTGGCAAAAGATAATATGCAATACACTTAGACCCTATTTCACACTAGCTGGTTACTTTTCCCCCTTGTTTGGATGGATGCTGAAGCAAAACTTACAACTATCCAGACATTAATAAAAGAGCGATCCAACTATCAAGAAATTAATAAAAGGGCAATCCAGGCATCCCTGTTAGTATTTCCTCCAAATAAAATGCATTCTGTCATCCTCAACTCCATGCGAACTGTTGCCACACACTTAAGCATCTCCATTTGCCTATGCAGACGCTGCACAGACAGAATGGAGCCCTCTTCTGCACAGAGCCCTTTGAGTTACCTAACATGAGCCATTCAAATTAAAACATGCATAACGAAAGCAACTCAATCTTGAAGCACTGTCATTAGATTTCCAAGCCAAAATGCAAAAGCTATGCATTTGAACAGCGAGCTCTGGCTGAAGTAACCCATGACCCAAAAATGCTCCTTTAAGAGCATCCTGAATATAGCACCAAATTTTGTGAAGTTATTTTGCTACGGGACACATTCCCTTCAGACTAACATTAAACTTGGCCACTGCAAGAGAAGCAGCAAGCAATAAGGCAGATTACAAATAACCAAATCTTACCTCATGACCTTTTCAATCAGATGCTAAATAACAACTTATCTCAGTGGCGGATCATTGGCATCATCAAGGTTGCTCCATCAGATTCTTCCTACAGTCCAGTCTAACATTACATCAGCAAGTCAGGTGAGGACACAGTCATTTAACTTTCTCCTTTAATTGAGACTTTGCAAAAGAGGAGCAATTTCTTAGGGCTTTTTTCCCTGCTCAGAGAAGCCCATCATATTCACACTTAACTATCTGTAGCACTTACAGGCCTAAGTGGTCCAGGACCAGGTTGCCTCAAAGACATTCCCTATGGGCTGTTTTGCGCCATTGCTCGTGCTGAGTAGGGTCTGGGTACTCTGCGTGGGACTAAGCATCTCATCCAGATGGTTTCATTTTAACAGTACACAATGAACTCTGGCTTCTTTAAGTCCCTTCTGGCCATATTTTCTAGAGTTAACTTCCAGAACTTGAGGCACAGAGTCTCATCTATACATACCCAGGCTTTGCCTCAGCCCAAACCCTACAAGCCAAGAAGTTTTGGTTACACACGGTTAAGTAGTGGATGTGAAACCAACCACTTCAGGCAGCACTGCACCATTATTCAGAAGCTATCCAGAGACCAGCAAAAACCAGGACCATAAGAACACACAGGCTCCTGAGCCCGGGCAGATACTTTTCAACTTAATTGCTTTTCCTGCTCTACAGATTACCGCAAAGTCATTTGTCCCAATCTGCATTCCTTCAACTGCTTGCTCATGGTAAGTACCTGCTTACTTAGCTGTCCTTGGTCACGTACGCAAGCTTGCACAGCTCCCTGCCCACACTCCGCCTCGCCTGGAAATAAAGCAGCTCCTTCTCAAGCTTATTTTGAGTAACATTACACTCCTCCTCACAGCTGAAAGCAAGCTCATACAGAAGGTCTGACAGGCCACAAGACTGTTTAGTGGAGGGGAAAACAGCACCCGGGGTAAAAAGGCTAAACTGCCCTATAAAAACACTTTGCAAACTCCTAGGAGGAAACCTTTCTTAAGTATTAGAGGCTTTATGCAATGGGAAATCACATGCCTAAATAACCCTGTGGAGTTGTACCCTCATGCCAAGGCTTGAAGATTTTAGCCTAACGTTGCAGCATAGCCATCCTCTTGCGCAACG